ATCGGGCATACAATGAAAGGCAAAAAGATGGACATTTTATTTGAATTTTTTCCGACAATTTTCCCAGTGCCTGGGTTTTAGACACTGCAACCCTTTAGACCTTTTGAATCAACCGAATTAATATTGAGTCCATCCCTATGGCAAGCTCTCGTTATGCTTAAAATCAAGCCAATCTGAAAGATAGCTTCATCAGCTTTGCGAGTTAACTTTCTAAAGTCGTCGTGAATGTTTAAACAAGCGAGCCTAGTGATACATACGAATAAAACTATCGTTACAAATAACATAGAAATATTGTCAACTAATCATGTCTGCATTTTCATTATTTTTAGATTTCCTTGCTGCCTGTAGATATTTGTGTCTAGCCCACTGAGTCATCTCGATGCCAATTGCTCTCAATATTAAGATATTTTTAAGATAGCAGTAGCAAGCTGATTTCCTTGCAAGAATCTATTTAACTCACTTCAATTTTTATATCAGACACAAACTCAGGATCTATTCTACACACCTCGAGATTGAAAGTATACCTCTCGCAAATACAATTTGTCTGAAAATGTGGAGCTCTTTCCAGACAATCAATCCAAGAAGCATGTTCTAAGCCAATTCTAATAAGAAGCATTCAAATAGTTTAATGCATTCACAGAACTAAGTGATATTACTTTAGTTCCCTTCTCTTTTCACTCCTCGAAACACCTCACACATAGCTTGGGAGGCAATTGATGCTGCCAAGTGTCCTGTACCAAAGGCAAAATTTATTTCTTCTTACATCACTATTTTAGAAGGTTAAATGTCCCAGCAAAATCCAGATATTATGTTAAAACCCAAGCAGTTAAGTGTACTGTAATGTAAAAAAAATGGGACGAAGTAGGCTGCAAAGGTTGGTACCATTATTTCCAAGTATCATTTTGTAGCTAAATTTAGATTTAAGCTTTTGGTACCAAACACATGAAGGAGTTGAAAAGTAGTGTTGACGTAAAAGCTGACTGAGTTCCTTTCACCAAATACAAATAATGTCCTTGCGCCTGTTAAGCTAAAGCTAAGACTGACTTGCCACCAAACAGTTGATCCATATTGCCCTCTGTACCAAAGTTAATGAAGATCATCTGATTTTTACTCGTTTTAAATAGAAAACTTTCCTTATAGCTTCTCCGGATGGGTGCACAATTTTGGGTAACTCAATAAATGAACTAAAAATGAGACGGAGATACAATTTCGCAGACCAGGCATAGGCATCAAGGGATATTTATGCGTGCTGCCTGAATTTTTACATTGCAGAAGGCTCATTTAATTTGCATTCATCACATAATTCTCGAACTCTAGAGTTAAAGAGGTATAAAGGGAAGGAGATTTTTTGGCGCAAACTTTAGACAATTCCTAGTCATACAGATTTAAGAAGATGAGCTCACAAAATATAGAGACTCATAAAGCATAAATCTAGCTATCTATGTCTATGCTTTCTAAAACTGCTTCTTTATTCTGACTGAAAGTAAACGCTTCAAGCCATATGCCTCTTCACAACAGGAAAGTGCATGGTTCAAAGTAACTTGCGAGTAGCCTGATAGATGGATGTCTACAGAAGGCCAGGCTGTTGGTACAAAGCGGATATTTCTGCATTGCACATGTGCATGAGTGCTCAACCAAACGTCTCTATGACATCGACTCCTACGTACCAGCCAAATTGGGGTAGTCTGGCGGACGAGTTTGCTGGCTGTTAAAGCGTGTGAGCGAGTCCTGGAATCTAGAATCCTGTATTGCAGAGTACCAGTGCAGAATGATTCACTAACAACTCGGAGGGAGGGAGGGAGAGGCAGTGTACAGGGCGGCTGATTAAAGGGCGGAAACATGGACGCACAGGCCGGCTTAGAATGGGCCAAGATGTGAGGCAAAACACTGCGACTCTCCGAGATAGAGTCGCCAAACTCTGAGAGGGTTCTGCCTCTGCAAGGGGCGAGATCGTACGAAGAAAAGATGGCATACAGCAGGAGGCAGAGCTGAAAACGCCATTTGTAGACGGACAAACAAGCTTGATTGTGGACAGGAAAGGTGGGAGGGTGTACCAAATGGAAGACTGTCTAAGACTTCCGGATGCAACTGGGCTCTGGTGAGTTTAAAAGAGCAAATCTGCGCAATTCTCTATGAGTTGATCTTGCTTGCTGAACAACGAGAAATCGACGTGAATATTTCACAACTCCACGGCACTGAGTATCAACAAGGGCCATCGCATTTGTCAGTGGCCTGAAGCGAACCAGCTCGAGTCCCAATCTGTAAGTCCTTTCGAACAATTACTATTTTCATTTGATTGTCATTGCATAAATTATATTGACTAGACACAAATACAAGATTTAATGGTATTCGGAGTTGTATAACCTATTTTTCGCAGCTACAAGAGACATAAAATAATGTTAATTTTAATGTATCTTACGTCCTTATTTCTATTGACTGTACACATTCCCAGACATTCCGTCAGCATCTTAGTCGACATGATCAGCAGGTTTCTTCTTTATTACCACTCAGCTACTGCTGCTGCGATTCCTCTAAAATATTATTAGCACATTTCCTAACATCATTACTCAAATTCACTTTATACGGCAAAGTATCCACTATAGCTCTTTTCATCCTCTCATTCAGCCTCAATTACTCGAGTTATGCACAT